ACATTTTGTCCCGTAACGCTCGCCGTACTGTTGGGGGGGAGAAGCGGTGGGGGGGAGATGTTCATGTTGCTGCAGTCTGCAGTCTGACCGCTAGATGTCGCTAAAAGTTACACAATGTAGCTTTAAGGCTGAATAGGAACCTGGCAATATTGTTTGTTTTGTTTTCGTTATTTTGTAATTTTGTTCATATGCACGGGTTAGCATTGTCAAGTTGTTTCCAGTGGGGAAAAGAGATAAACAGAAGGTTAAGGTTTGGAGGAAGAAGAACAAATCATGAATATGTTTAATATGAATATTAAACAGATCTGTAGATCCAACCCTAAAAACGTCCCTTTTTTCCCCATTTCAATCATATAAAATAAAAATAAAGTATGTCCCAATCTAACAGGAAAAGCAATATATTTTCAGGTTATCTTCAAACGGATAGGCCTACCTGAATATCTAAAATCTCCAATATAAGGATGATGATAGAGGAACCAACTCCTTTTTAAACTTTATGAAACCCATTGGTTATTAATAATGCTTCATCAAGTATTGTTACTTGATGAAGCATTTCTAAGATTCCACCCAACAAACCAGGTAATAAAAGTCTGTATGATTCATTCTGTTACCATACGGGGTCAGTATTGGTATCTGCTGAAACTTGAAGCTGCAATAAGTTTTTTGTGCTGGAAATGTAAAAGTTATCTAATCATCCGAACTAAAATCATCTCCCAAAACCAGGAAAATTTGGTTTGATGCAGAAATTGGGAAAACTTAACAGCTTAATTTTCCGGTGGTTTTAAAAAGAAAAAAACACCACTTTAGCGAAGCTGCAGAACCTTTTTTCTATTACGGACAATATTTCTAACAATTTTTTATTTCACAGAATTTAGATCGTAACAATAATACTGCACTTAGAATGAGAAATCGGATGTCAGTAATTCTTAAATAGGGAATAAACAATGCATTAAAAGCTTCAAAAGAATTTTAAATGGAATTAATTTAAAACTTCAGGACTTTAACTTGTTTATTGGAAAAACAAATTAAATCATATTGCCAGACTGATTCACCTGAGAGCAGGTTATCATAAAGGTTTCCACCCTACCTCACCCTGAATGGCATAAAAGTGTCACATGCACATCGCCAATCAGATCAGCCATTCAGGATTAGTTTAAAGTTCAACGGTTAGAAAAGGTTAGTCTGTCTGAGTATCAGCCTGGACTGATATAAAATGCTACAAGCCTCAGCTACTCAATGCAATATTAATCTAAATAGAATAAATACACTGAAAGCTTTTTATTAAAAAACAAATAAACATCACCTCTGCAGCAAAACCAAATATTTCATTCAGGTTCTTTATTTTGTTAAGATTTAATGAATAACTTAATAATCTAGAGATAAGTGGGTCTAAATATTACAATTAAAATTTAAGAAAATTTATAGTGACATTTTTTAGCAGATGAATGCTTCTAAGTTTAAATGTAAATCAGTAATCAAAAGATAGTCCTTAAGATGTTTTTTTCTTTTTTTAAAAATGTTCTACTTTAATTGATTTTTTTTAACACACTATAAAGATTAATGTAGTAAGTATTTAAAATAAGAAAGGTGCAGCCTTGAAGGAATTGTAAAATACTTTCTATGAACTTTGTTTTTTTATATATTTTTTCTGAACACTTTATAAACATCCACTTCCGCCCTCTGTGTCTCAGACGTCCAATCAGGGTCAGAAACATCAATATTCCATTTTAAATCTTAAGTCTCATAAAATGTTCTCACCATTCCAGGGAATCCACCAGCCGGAGCGCCGTATCCTGGGTAGGCCATTTCTAGATCAATAAAAACCAACAAATTAAGGATATTAAATGGAAAACTGCTGTCTTTGGGGCAGCGGAGGCGCACAGAACCGCACCGTAAAACACGGAGATTGAAAAACACCTGGAATGAAACTCAGTTTGAAGAACCGAGCTTGTTATAGGCAACTTATTAGAAATAAGGGGCGGAAGAGAGACGTGAAGGTGTAAACACATCCGTTTGGCTGTTAAACGATCGAA